TAAACCTTATAACTTGGTATTAATAACTTAGGCTAATTTAATAAACAAAAATTCCAATTTTCTTTTAGGGGTATACCGATGCACCAGGAGTGCATCGGTACACAAAATAGCTTCGAAATATCCATGCATCGATGCACCTTCAAAATTTGTCTTATTGCATCTATACATACTCATAGTGCATTGATGCGCCTGCCCAGAATAGGCTATTTCATCCGAAAATCCTCAACACTTCATCCAAATTTTCATGTATAAAATCCTTATTATGCTACTAAATTCATCTATAACAACTTTAACAAACTCCTATCATTCCAACACCTTATAATCTTCCATATTCATCCAAAATTCTTAAGGCTAAGAATCATACCAAATTTTCCATGTTATCCAAACTTAATTCTAACACTTCTAACTTCTTATTCTCATATATACAAGTCAAATTCATCCTCCAAATTCATTTAAACCTTCTTATTCAAAATTTCACTTAAAAACTCATTTTCTTTAATCTATCATAACTCCTTTATCTTTTGATTTTAAGATAAATTAAGCTTTCCTTAAGCTTAGTTATCATCTAATGATCAAAACCCATGCTTAAAATCAACAACCAACCAAGAAATCAGAAAATTCACCTATGCTTTGAGTGTCTCACGTTGAAGAAGAAGAAGAATGAAAAATGAAGAGTGAAGAGATTTCTGGAGAAATCTCTCAACCTTATCCCCATTTATATATATATATATATATATATATATATATATCATTATTTTATTCATTTCTAAGTCAAATGACCATTTTACCCTTTAATTCCTTTAATAATTACTAACAACTTTCAGGAAATATCTCCACATAAATCATTGAACTATTTAACTATTCTACTTTTATCCCCAAATTCTAAAATTTTACAATTTAGTCACTAACCCGGTATTGAGAATGTTACAAATAATTTCTTTTGAGAAATTTTGTAGATACAAACGTATTCAGAGTTTAATCCAAGACTTTTAATTATTCGGTTGCCAAAAGTAAAATTAAAGAATTAGTTCTTTTCGATTATTGGATTGTGAAAATTAAAATCAAAGGATTAATTCCTTGTGGTTATTGGGTTGGTTAAATTAAAGGATCAATTTTTTTTATTTCTGTTTGTTAAACAGAATCGAGTCGTTGTGATATATATGTTTCGGGTTTTGTGTTACTAATATTGTTGGTTAATAAAATATAAAGGAAATAAATCATTGAATTTATTTAATTGTTAGAATCTTGCATTGATTCTAGCTTCGTAAGGAAAATAAATAGTTAGATTTATTTCCTTGAGAATCCTAAATTATTCTAACTTTGTAAGGAAAATAAATTATTAAATTTATTTCCTTAAGAATCTTGAATGATCCTAGTTTTGTAAGGAAAATAAATAGTTGAATTTATTTCCTTGAGAATCTTGAACTCATTTTATAAAAGGAAATAAATCGTTGGATTTAGTTTTCTGTCTTAGAGAAGGAAATAAATCGAAACAAATCGTAGGATTTATTTTCCTAGTTTGTAAAAGAAAATAAATGGATTGATTTATTTTCCTATTTTGTAAAAAGAAATAAATCATTGAATTTATTTTTCTACAATTTATTTTCTTGTTTTCTAAATAAAAATAAATTATTGAATTTATTTTCTTATTGTGTAAAAGGAAATAAATCAATTGGATTTATTTTCATATTTTTTATAATGAAATAAATCGTTAGATTTATTTTCGTATTTTGTAGAAGGAAATAAATCGTTAGATTTATTTTTTGGATTTTATAAAAGAAAATAAATCATTTGATTTATTTTCTTATTTTGTAAAAGGAAATAAATCGCTGGATTTATTTTTCTGTTGTGTAAAAGTAAATAAATCATTGAATTTATTTTCCTATTTTGTAAAAAGAAATAAATCATTTAATTTATTTTCCTGAGAATCTTATAGGATTTTGGTTTGTAAAATGAAATAAATCGTAGAATTTATTTTCCTATTTTGTAAATTTAAATAAATTGTTGGATTGAATTTTTTTATTGTGTAAAGGAAATAAATGAATTGGATTTGTTTTTGTTGAAAGAAATAAATCGTTAGATTTATTTTTGGATTTTGTAAAAGGAAATAAACCATATAATTTATTTTCTTGCGTTGTAAAATTAAATAAATCGTATAATTTATTTTCTTACTTTGTAAAAGAAAATTAATTAAGAAAATAAATCGTTTGATTTATTTTCTTATTTTGTAAAAGTAAATAAATCATTGGATTTCTTTTTATGTTTTGTAAAAAGATATAAATCGTTGAATTTATTTTCCTATTTTGTAAGAAGAAATAAACCACTAAATTTATTTCTCTAAGAATCTTATATGATTCTGGTTTGTAAAAGGAAATAAATCATAAAATTTATTTTTCATGTTTTGTAAATAGAAAAAAAATCGTTATATTAATTTTCGAATTTTGTAAAAGGAAATAAATCGTAGAATTTATTTTCTTGCTTTGTAAAAGGAAATAAATCGTTTGCCAATTTTTCCATATATGTTCGTATCTATTTTTTGTTATAGATTTTTTTTATTAGATTTTGAAGTTTTTCCTTCTATGGTCATTGTGTCACAAAGTGACTATTTTGTGATGGTTATAGAAAATTGTCTTAATTATATGTTTAGTTTACGTTTAAGATTGTAAACATTCGTTGTAATTACGAATATTTTTTTAAATAAAACTAATGGTAAGAAAAATGTTATAATAATTAAAATTTTGAAAGGTAATTAAATATAATAAAAAATAAAATGAAATATCAATAGAAAATAAATACAAAATATTGTTTTTGGTTTTTTATTTGAATTTGTTTGTGAATTATTTAAAAGTTTAAGTTTTACATCTCTTTAAGATGGTTAGATAACGGGAAATAATGGTTGAGATTTTTTTTATTGTGAATATCTTCTAATTTTCTACTATTAATTTTGATCGTTTATTTTCATTTATCCAGTAATCTTAAAAATCTAAAACTAAAAATTTTTATACAATATGAAAGTATTATTTATCATATTACATTCTTATTTTAATAATATATTAAAATATTAATATATTTTGAAATATTTATGAACTAATAATCAATCCATGTCGTTGATGTAGACTCTAGGGATAATTGTTGTTGAGTCAACCAAGAGGATGAAATAACCAAGAGAGTGGTGAATTGTCAATTAAAAATTTTGGCGGAAGTTTGAAAGAAAAATAGGAAATTGAACACAAAAATTTTATAGTAGTTCAACTTTCTAAACCAAAGTCTACATCCACTACCTTAGCTATCCAAACTAATGATTTTCACAAATTAACTAATTTGTATCAACCTTTGAGGACAAGGTGCAACCTTACAACTCCCTTAAGAATTATACCCCAATTTCTTAAGAACACTCTCTCAAAGAGAAAATTACAAATTTGCAAACTTTGAAAAATCTCACAATGAAAGTGTTTGCACAATTCAAGAGCAAATAAGAACACTAAACAAGTAAAACAAATGAGTACAATAGTGTTCTTTGAAATGAAAAAGAATATTGAAGAATGTTGAATTAATTTTGTCTTAATGTGATTGCTTTGGCTTTCTTTTTGATTTATTGTCTTCACATATGACTTGAAATATTGTTTTCATATAATCACATTCAATTCTAGTTATTTGAGTTGTTGTGGGAGTTAAAAGAGTTGTTGGGATGAAATTTCCCGCAATAAATGTTGCCTAGACGTCTTGAGTATCGATACTCGAGCTTAGAGTATTGATATTGCCTGTATTAATTACAAAAATTTTGACCGTTGGAAGAGAATAGTATTGGCACTCTAGTAAGAGTATTAGTACGAAAATGGTATACTGGAATCGGTTTTTATCAAAACAACAAAGGGAGTATCGGTACTCCCATCCAGAGTATAGATACTGCAGGGTTTAAAAATTAATTTTTGACTCGATTAAGGTTCGAAACCCTTTATAAAATTGTTTGAAAATTATTTCCCATATATGAATTTAATTTTTCAAAAGAGTAAGGAGTAAAAATTGAGTTTTAATCCTTGAAAAGAATTTCAATGTTCGAACGATTTAATGAAATATAAATTTAAAAATCTATTTGAAAATAAACTTAAAATTTCTTTAAAAATATTCATTTTTAGTATATCAAAATACAAAGCATGGTTCAACAATTATTTAAACCCAATTTTTTTTTTAAAAAAAAAGTAATATTATCTTTAATCACTTAAACAACTTCATGGCTTACCATTTTCATGAAAGTTTCAATGCCAACCCATTTACATCATATTAATATTAAGCATTCCATTATTCAAGAGTCTAACAGCGTCTATCTGTCTCTATATATATTAGTTTAAATATAAAATTAATTGTTAAAAGCAAATTACGAAATAACTTTATTTTTGAATTTTTAGTTAACGTAATTATTCTATATAAATATGAAATACATAAAATCTTCTAAATTTATAAATTCATTAAATATAAAAATATACTTTATACTGTTTTTTCGGATATAAATTTTTATAAACAAGTACGACTGTGATTGTGATTGAGATTGAGAAATGAGATTACGTTATTGCCAAGAAATAATTTAGGGATTGAAAGCTTTAATGGGTTGTTTTTCGCGACATGAATTTATATGGAAAGCGTGAACTAATTAATACTATAAAATCAATAATTTTTTAAAAGAATATTTATTTATTTGGAAAGGAATCTAACTCTCTTTATGAGATTAGAGAAAGGGAATTACAAAAGTTGCCAATATATGGACAGTGCCTGATCCTCAGGCAACAATAACTGATCAAATAAATCACCTAAAAGCATGCCAATATCCGCCTGATTTGCCAATCGTAAATCGTGTTAATTAGCTTTAATTCAATTTGAGAAATTTAAGGTAATTTGTCATGATAGGAAACATGATAAATGTCATTGTTCTGTCTACAAATTAGCTTAAATTCTGTCAACACTAAACCATCCTGTAAGATCATAACAAATCTCGGTCCAACACCAATTATTTTCTCTTTTGTCCGCCATTGATATGCCGAAGAACAATAAGCATCATGCTGCCCTGCTAGCCAGCCCTGGCATGGGGCATCTCATTCCCATCGTGGGGCTTGGGAAACGAATGGCCACTCACCATGATTTTCATGTTACAATCTTTTTCATTGCAAGTGACCATGGCTTGACAACATCGCTTCTCAAATCGCCTACTGTGGAGAATCTTGACATTGTCCCACTCCCATTGGTGGATATCTCGGCCCTCGTTGGCCCTAACACACAGTTAGTGGAAAAACTGATTATCATCGTGAGGGAGTCGTTGCCAAGCCTCCGGTCTTTGATTGCAGCCATGAAGTATCGTCCCTCGGCTTTGATTGTGGACTTGTTCGGAGCCGATGCCTTTGATATAGCCGAAGAGTTTGGAATGCTTAAGTACGTGTTCAACACTGCTAATGCATGGTGCCTTGCCGCCATACTCCATTCATCAAGACTTGGCAATAAATTCATCTTGGAACATCATATCAAGGGCCAGAAGCCATTGGAAATACCTGGGTGCAAATCGCTTTCTTTTGAAGATACCCCCGAATCTTTGCGCAACATTGATCGTAGCGGTCAACTAGAATTCCATGGATTTAAAATGACGAATTCTCATGGGATCTTGATCAATACCTGGGAAGATCTTGAGTCCTCTACCATTGAAGCACTTAGAGATAACAACCACTTGAGGGGCCTTGTTAAGGTACCAATTTATCCTATCGGTCCACTGGTCGGGCAAGATGGAAATCAAGCGTTAGATAAACAAGTGAAACAATGGCTTGACAAGCAACCGATTGAATCAGTCATTTATGTCTCATTTGGTAGCGGGAGTACTCTATCAGCAACACAAATGACCGAGTTGGCTTGGGGTTTAGAGCAAAGCCAGCAAAAGTTCATTTGGGTCGTCCGTCCTCCATCAAACAATGCAGTTGGGACCTATTTCACCATAGGGAAAGATGATGTGGATGGCACCCCGGATTACTTGCCACAAGGGTTTTTCACTCGAACCAAAGAGATTGGCTTAGTGATACCGATGTGGGCACCTCAAGTACAGATCCTGAGCCATCCATCCGTAGGTGGTTTTTTATCTCATTGTGGATGGAATTCAACTTTAGAGAGCATTATGAATGGGGTGCCGATGATTGCATGGCCGCTTTATGCAGAGCAAAAGATGAATGCTGCGATGCTAACTGAGGATTTTGAGATTGCTGTTCGACCAAAGGTTTCTACCACTGAGGAAATTGTTGGGAGGGAGGTGATTGGAAATATGGTGATTACGATCATGGCAGATAAGGAAGGGAAAGCAATGAGGGACAGAGTCAAGGAATTGAAGAATAGAGCAGAGAAGGCTTTGTGCAAGGGCGGTTCCTCTTTCAATTTTCTTTCTCAAGTAGCCAAAGATTGCATGCACCACCTCCTAGCCTAAATATTATGTAAATAATTATGTAATCTTAAATTACTAGTTTTATTTCAATGATTATAGGAAATTTTTCTAATTATGTGTTTAATTTACGATTGTGATTGTAATCTGTATTGTAATTTGAGATTTTTCCAATTTTGAATAAAATTAGTTTCTTCAATAAAAAAATATAATATTAAAATAACCGTGTTGTTCAACTTATTGGCGTTATAGCATACAACCTATATGTTACAAGTAGTACATCTTTTTTGTCCAAAATTGTTGCCCTCTTCTTCTGTTATTTATCTCATTAGATAACAAAAACGTGACGTGGTTCTGTACTAAGAAGAAATCTGTTCTTACTAAAAAGTAAGCACGAGTAACGACTATTTGAAGCTAAAGTCTTAGACTCCTAGTCAATCCATAAAGTGAAAAAAGCCTAATTGATCTTTGGTTGTTAGATAAAGCTTTCATCTTTCGAAAAGTTTGATTTCAACTAATTTTTCTATTTTTCACGTGATTAAAAATAAATATTTAAATTTTAACTTAACTCAAAAACTAACTCGATAATTTGAGGTAACTCGAATAGAATAACTTGACTCGACTATTTCAAATTTAAAAAAAAAATGTATGAAATAATAATTTCTCATTAATTCTACAATGATAGGCTTGCCTTATAATTTCAAATTAAGGTTCCGTTTAATCGATTTTCAAGTGAAAAGACGAGCAAGGACTAATGGGAGAATAACTGTTGACGAATTAATTAAAACTTGAGCGAATGGAGGAACCGTATCGGGCAAGGAAAAATAAAGGGAACAAGTCTGGTTAAAAGACGAGCAACGTGGCTGCACCCAAACTTCATAGCTGATGGGCTCTTGAATCACACTACCAAAGGACTAATGGGCGTCTCAGGCTGAAAATTTTGAGCCGGCGATCAATACCATAATTAGGTAAACAAGATTATTGCCCAACACAAGATTGAATGCCACAACAGTGCCCGAGCATTTAGCCGTGGGTACCCGAGTCTACATCATCACTACCGCAGGACATTACTGGGAGAAGTGAAATAAGAGATACAAGGAAGACTATATAAATAGATAAAACAAAGCACTAGTTAATCCATAAAGATCACATAAAAATGTGCACGCTAAAATCATTTACAAAATAAGTCTCAATTTTATTCTTAATATATGAACGAAAGCATAGAAAGATGCTAAAAGGGTTCCTTGGGTTTTATTGAATAGACATATCATGCACTTACAGTTTCAGTAGCTTTCTTTAGCCATTCCATCTGATTTTTATCCATGTAAGGTGCAAGAATTTCCCGACATTTCGAATGGTAAGTATTCAACCAATAAATTTCCTCGGGTGCCAAAAGGCTAAAGTCAATCAGCTTTATTTGATATGGTGCCTGCACATAATAAAAGCCATTAAAATCGAACATTCAGTTGTCTCTGTAAAGAGAGTTTGCAAGTTAAACCATTGAAGCAAGATCAAAAACAACCTCACATTCAATATGCCATGAGATGGAAATAAGATGCATACAGAGGATACTTCTAAAAAATAGCAATAAAGTATCAACGGAGAGAACATTAATAGTTAAATCTTCCGGTAGTTTATCAATCAAGTTAATAATGTCTCCAGTAATTGTAGAGAATCGTAATCCAAAACAAGTATGCAAGAACCGAAAAACCTAAAGCATGTATGCACATTTGAAGACAAACAGGCATGCAGCATGGTTGATAGGAGGAAGAAAAAGAAGAATAATTACACATAATGACAGAACTTACCCATGTGATATGATCAAATGATAAGTATCCCTTGTCACCAAAATTGAATTCAGTGTCAACCTCTTTGATTACGAGCACATTCTCTAATCTTATGCCAAAGTTCCCATCTTCATAATATCCAGGTTCTGGGAAAAAAAATTCCGATTACAGTATAGATTATTAGTTCAGTTATATAGTAACCACATGCTACTTTTCAGACAACAGGTATAGAGTAGGCAGTATTTTAACATTGAGAAGATCGGATTCTCTTTTTTTTTTTAAGAAAAAAACACCAGCAAAAAGAGAGAGCCTCTGCGAAACACTCGAGCCAGGAATGACAGCCAGTCAGCATTAAATGCTTAGAAAATGTATGCATGAAAAGCTTGAACTAAACCAAAGCATTTAAAAAGAATACAAAGTAAAAGGAAGTCTATTAGGTGAGGTAAACATCCTTAGTCAAGATTTTGAATGGTGTCAAGACAGGACAAACAATACTAACCATCTGTTACTGTCATGGAAACTTGAAGTGGCACATTTCGAGCGTGTGGTCTGAAACTAATTTGATGAGGACCTGCTCCGAGTAGTTCAACCGGGAACAAACAAAATTAAATTATAAGTTTCATCGATTTAACGGCAATCCTCACTTCACCAAGCAATTGTAGCTCATTGCTAACCTTCATGAACATTCAGGTATGACCCAATTCCATGACCAGTACCATGTCGATAATCAAGACCATACCTCCACAAAGGAATTCGAGCCAGAATATCAAGAGCATAACCTATAAAAAAAATCAATCAATCAACCTATTATATACATATGAGAATGTGTTTATGAATATAGTTCTATATACACATTAGTTAGATATTGGAGTTGAGACAATCTACTTGACTTGAAAAGGGAATGCTTAAATAAATATGGAACAAACAATTCAACAGATAAATAGAGAACTTTTAATACCATTTGTTCCATTAGGAAACCGAGCATTGCCCAGAGCAATATGGCCCTTGAGAACCTGCAGGGAATCAACCAATTTATTCAAGGCTTAAAGTTCAGGAAAATCGGAAATAATAATAAACAACTAAAAATTGCGTCATAAATTTTGACTTCCGATATGTTAAATAGTCTTCAACTGCTTTAATGCAAACATGAATCGGGTTATGTCTAAAAATCACAGTTGCGAATTCATTGGATGGATCATCGCAAACAACAAATGTTGCTCTATTCTTAGAAAAATATTATTTAAAGCTTAATAGGTATTGTCAAATATAGATAAGATAATAAGACATCCAATTCACTCAATGTTTCCTATCTAGCATCAGAATCATTCATGTGACACGCAGTGATGGAGCCACAGCTTGGTGAGGGGGGCACTGAAATCCGAATTTTCTTCGATTAGTTATTTATTTTACTAGTGCCCACCCTAAAATTTTTCGTGTCCACCCTAAAATCTGAGTTTTCTTTGATTAGTTACTTATTTTACTAACGGTGCCTGAAATTTTATTTGTACTCACCCCATTTAAAAATTTTAGGTGTTTAATATAAGTGTTCCCACTCTCAAAAATATTTCTGGATCTGCCACTGGTGACAGACATTTCCCAGGCAATATAAACAAAGATGCTGAGAGGTGGATATACAGCTTGTGTTATCAAATCCACCAGGGGCCTCCCAAGCATATCAAAAATTAAATTTACATATGGTCTGACCAAAGGAAGGTGAACATAGGTAACTAATAATGAATTATCCAGAAGACAATGCAACAGAAGCCACTTACTGAGGTATAACATGCCTTCTCATGTGCTGAAGGCTTTCCAAAATGAACCGTTCGAGTTATATCAGTTGTTCCATCTAGATACTTTATCGGTCATAAAATTAAGAATCAGAACTAAGAATCTAGAATAAGATTATTGCCATCTTATTGAAAGTAAGCTAAATTATTACAACTTGAGCAAACCTGTCCTCCTGAATCAAATAGATAAATGCTATTGGGGTCAAGCTCAGCACATGTTTCTGCCTGAGGTGAGTAATGGATGATGGCTGCATTTGGACCAACTGAAGAAATAGTAGGGAAACTTAGGCCTCTGAAGTGCTGCAATTGGTAACATAGAAAAATAAATTGTATGAAAAATTACAAATGCAAGCACAATATTATAGCAACAACAGGAACCAAGGTGCTTATTACACACTAAATATGCTTGTGAGTTGAGACTCTTAGGAAATTCTTAGTTTCAAATGTTACGATGCCCAAGTTTACATAACAAAGTAACTACCTATTGGTGGGCACAAACAACAGAATTTATCACTACTTAGTACTTATACAAGAATTTCTCACTTGAAAGTTTTTACTATTATAGTTAATATCCAAAATGATATTTTTCCTTATCTTCACAATAAACTTTCTCAAAAGTATTGTTACCTCTTTTGATGCACGAAACCCCTCCAACTTATCACTAACAGTCACCTCTGTCAGTTTCGTAGTCTCCCTGCATGGTTCATTCCAGTAGCATGAAACAACTAAGCATCAGTCAGCCCAGCACCAGCTCAGAACATTTTTCTTAAGAGAAGGAACAGCCTGCTTGGTTTCAGGCTTGAAAAACAGAAACTGAACGGGGGTAAAAGGGAGACAATATATCAACTTGCAATTCTATTACTTACGGTGTCTTTTTTCTATCTACCTCCCCTTCCAAGAAGTAACCAGAAGCCCCATAAATCTCTTGCATCTGTGCAATTGAGAGAGCAATAGCATCATTTCAAGCCTATAATATAGTTGCATATGATGAGAAATATTTTTATTTTGAAACAAGAACCAAATCTAAACAAAGAGTTAGAAGCTTAGTGAATTAGAGAGAATATTTACTAATTTTCAGGAGAAAATAATATACAAAAGGTCACAGTCCAATACCTGCTTATCCAACCAGACAAGAAACTGTACAACAGCTGCCCCATCTCGAATATGTGCATTCTTTAGTCCTTCCAACTCAACTGGATTCTAAAAATGCAAAATCATTGATAAAGATAAATTAATTTAAGATGAAACATGAACAAAGAGAATCCCTATTTAAATATTAAAGATCTCTGCAGTGTCTTTTAAATAGGTAACAGCTCTCTTTTTTTTTCCCTTCTTTTCAGGGGCAGCATATTCTTGTTCTTCAGGATCACTGTATGTGGATTTACAAGTAAATATAAAAAATTTAAGGTGTTCTATATAAATTTTCAGAATATCAGAAGAGGACTTCATATAGATATATGCTACGCAATTC